TGAAGGCAAGAGGAGAAGGGGACGACAGAGGACGAGAGGGTTGGACAGTGTGATTGAAGTTACCAACGTGAATTTGGGAGGCAGTGGATGACAGGAGGGCCTGGTGTGCTCTGGTCCATGGTGTCACGAAGAGTCGGACACGACTTAACAACTAAACAACAAAAGTAGGGCTCTTAATGACAAAACCTTCTAGAACAGTGGTTCTCAACCTTGAGTCACCCAAGTGTTCTTGAACTGCATCTTCCAGAAGTCCTGGCCAGCACAGCTAGTGGTGAAGGTTTCTGGGGAGTTTTAGTCCAAGAGCCTCTGGGGACCCAAGGTTGGGAACCACTGGCCTAGATCCTTGAATGCATGTGGTCACTTTACTTGAGAGGGACTTGACAGGAAATCACGGTGACAACAGTCAGAAGAGACATTGAGGCTTTATCTAATCCAGCAGGTCCCAACGTCCGTATTCTCCATGTGCACTGGTTTCACAAGCGAGCTGTTTTACGGGGGGTGGGGGGGGAGGCATTCTAGCTGAAAAAAAGCAGGGTCTAAAATTGTATTAACAAGGACTTTCTTGTCCCTTGATGCTTCCTACAGAGGATGAAACAAGAATGCCTGGGGGGACGTGTAGGAGTCCAAATCTTCTTTGGGAAACAGCTTCTGCACAGCTAAATCAGGTATGGGCATTATAGCTTTTTTCCAAATGACAGCAAGGGATTATCTGGATACCATGATCTGCATCACATTTCTTGAGGTCTGAAGCAACCTGTCTTTCCCCCCCCTTCTCTTCTATTCACTCATTTCTTAACAAGGTTCCTGAACGCCCAGAAGCTCCATTAGAATCATAGAATAACAGACTTGGAAGGGGCTTCTAAGGCCATCCAGTCCAACCCCCTCCTAAGGCAGGAATCCAAAGCAAAGCAGATTTTACGGTTGGTGGTCCAGTTTTCTGTTCAATGCCTCCAGCATTGGCGTGATCACCACGTCGTGATGTGATTTGCTCCATTGTTGGACTGCTCTAACAATTAAGATGTTTTTCCTGATATTCATCCTAAATCTGGTTTAATGTAGCTTGAGCCCATTATGACGTGTCTTGCACTCTGCGATGGTCGAGAACAGATGCTGCTCTCCTCTGTATAACTATCTTTCAAATATTTATAGAGTGCGATCATATCACCCCTCAGTCCTCTTTTCTCAAGGCTAAACATGCCCAATTCTTTCAGTCGTTCCTCATAGGGCTTGGTTTCCAATCTCTTTATCATTTTTCTTGGCCTCCTCTGTATTTACAGTGGTGCCCTGCATGACGATGATAATCCGTTCCATGAAAATAGCTGTTTAGCGAAATCATCGTCTTGCGAAGACCCTTTCCCCATTGGAATGCATTGAAACCCGTTTAATGCGTTCCAGTGGGGAAAAATCGTCGTTTTGCGAAAATCACCCACAGGGCGGCCATTTTGCGAAGCACTGATCAGCTGTAACAGGGCAGCCATTTTTCGAAGCCCTGATCAGCTGTAAAAATGGCTGTCCTGCGAAGCATGGGTCCCGAAACATAGGGAAGCCATTTTGCGAAGCCGCCGATCAGCTGTAAAAACCGTCGTCTTGCGAAAAAACAGTCCGCGAAGCACGGACCAAATCATCATCAAGCGAAAATCGCCCATTGGAATCACTGTTTTGCGAATTGCTATAGCGATCTCAAAATGTCATCGTTGTGCGGATTCGTCATTTTACGAGGTCGTTGTCTATGTCATCGTCGTGCTGATTCGTCATTTTACGAGGTCGTCGTCTAGCGAGGTACCACTATACTCCAGTTTGTCTACTTCCTTCTTAAAGTGTGGGGGTCCAGAACTGGTGTCCAGTACTCTCGATGAGGCCTAAACCGTGCTGAATTAGATGTTCTGTGATATCAACTGAGAGGGTAATTTTGACTGATGGGTGCTCAGAAAATGACCCACGTGCTGATTCGTCATTTTACGAGGTCGTCGTCTAGCGAGGTACCACTATACTCCAGTTTGTCTACTTCCTTCTTAAAGTGTGGGGGTCCAGAACTGGTGTCCAGTACTCTCGATGAGGCCTAAACCGTGCTGAATTAGATGTTCTGTGATATCAACTGAGAGGGTAATTTTGACTGATGGGTGCTCAGAAAATGACCCATTCTGTTACTGGTGGTGAGGCAGATGCTTTCTTCTTTTCTAGGATCTGGTGAGCTTCGAGGAAGTGGCTGTGTATTTCACCGAGGAGGAGTGGGCCCTGGTGGATCCGGACCAAAGAGCCTTGTACGGGGAAGTCATGGAGGATAACCTGCAAACCTTTGTCTTTCTAGGTAAGAACCTCCTTCCTCACTTTGGTTGATAAGATCCCATGTGTTTCTTTAAGAAAAAAACAAATAAAAAGCACACACAGAGGTATTTATTTGCTTTTCTGACTTCTTACGAGGTTCTTCCACCTTTCGTGTACTTCTTTGGGCCACGCTCTTGGGTTTCAATCCTTTTTCGAAGGAGCCAGGAGGCAACATGCACGCCATAGGCCACGTCCAGCCTTCAGAGGGCCCAAACCACTGGATAGCTTGAGGATTTAGGCCTCTGGCTGTGGAGCCAGAGTTTGGGAGTTCGATTCCCCACTTGTGCCTTCTTGACTCAGTGATTCACAGGATTCCTCCCAGCTCTCTGCCGTTCTGTTGTTGTTGTTGTTGTTCTTGTTGTCATCACAGGATTCCTTCCAGCTCTCTGCCGTTCTGGTGTTGTTGTTGTTCTTGTTGTCGCTGCTATTGTTGTTAAGTATGGCCCCCCAGCACCACTGCCCCACCGATTGTTAATTAAAAAAGAGATTAGGCTTAAAGGCTTATAGTGCCCTCTAGTGGGCTTCAGGGCAATATCATGCATTGGGACCACCTCCAAGGGACACCCATAAATTCTCAACATTAAACAAGGGCTTTGTCCTCTGAAGTACATTTCTCAGGGCCTCATTTAAACGGTCTCTCTCTCTTTTTAAAAAAAGCAATAACAACAAAACTCACAGTGTGGTTTAAAACAAATTAAGGGTTGAGGATAATGGGAACAGGATCTCTGGTGGATAAATGACCTCCTGCTTTGATTTCCGGTTGCGTGGAACTGATGTAGAATGAGACAAAGTCATGCCTTAAATTGTAGCAGGAGCGTTAAAATTAGCTGTTATCTGCGGTGGTCTGTGATGACAATCCTTCTGTGCCAGTGGAGCTGTGGAACAGGATACTGGCTACTATTTGTGACTGATTATATTTTTAAGCCTTTTTTAATAAACCAATTATGTAAGCTGCTTTGGTTCCTAGTTCTGAAAGAAAGGCAGTATATATAATAGTGAGATAGAGAGATCACCAGTTTGCTGGGGTTTCCTAAGCTATAAGTCCAGGTCCTGCAGGAAAGCATGATGTCTAAATGTACAAATTTAAAAATGTGTGTTCTGTTCGGCACTGATTAGGCCTCATCTTGAGCGTTGTGTCCAGTTTGGGACACTGCACTTTGAGAAGGATGCCAGCAAACTGGAGCAAGTTCAGAGGAGGGCAGCCAGGATGATGATCAGGGGGCTGGAAGCTAAGCCCTAGGAGGAAAGACTGGAAGCATGTTTAGCCTGGAGAAAAGAAGACTGAGGGGAGACAGGATAGCCCTTTTCAAATACTTGAAAGGGCATCAGACAGAGGAGAAGCAGGATCTGTTCTTGATCATCCCTGAGTGCAGGACACACAACAATGGGCTCAAGTTACAGGAAGCCATATTTAGGCGGAATATCAGGAAAAACTTCTTAACTGTTAGAGCAGTACGACAGTGGAGCCCATGACCTCGGGAGGCGGTGAGCCCTACAACGCTGGAGGCTTTCAAGAGAAAATTCATCAAACAGAGGAGAAGCAGGATCTGTTCTCGATCATCCCTGAGTGCAGGACACACAACAATGGGCTCAAGTTACAGGAAGCCATATTTAGGCGGAATATCAGGAAAAACTTCTTAACTGTTAGAGCAGTACGACAGTGGAGCCCATGACCTCGGGAGGCGGTGAGCCCTACAACGCTGGAGGCTTTCAAGAGAAAATTGTGCCACCCTCTGTCAGATTTGCTTTGATTTGGATTCCTGCCTTCAGCAGGAGATTGGACTCCATGGCCTTCTTAGGCCCCTTCCGACTCTATTAGTGTAACATTCAGTTTAATTGCCATCGTCTTAATTACACTTTGTTCTTTGCTTATTTCAGATGACGTGAAGCAGACGGGACAACACAATGGGGCCTCGCCCAAAAAAGTCGACGCAGGGGTAACAAAGCATTTTTTCAATCCAAACAGAGGAGGAAGGAAAAAGAGATGCGAGAGAGAGGAATGGAGAAATAAATCTGTCTCATCTTGGCCCATCGGCATCCGTAAACAAAACCGACGAGTAGAAAACGCAGACCTCGAGGGTCTTCTGAGAATCGCCGAAGAAGGGAGACCCAGTCAGAGTCCAGGATTTGTGAGAGGCAATACCCCGAGCAACATCTTAGGGGAGCCTCTGACACTCCGTGCTGAGGGAAAAGGCTTTAGGTCCTCAGAGTGTGAAAGGAACTCGGATTGGTGTGTGAATTTTACGGGACATCAGCCCGCTCAGCCTGGCGAGAAGCACTTCCGATGCTTACGGTGTGGGAAAGGCTTCAGTCACAGCTCACACTTCAAAGTTCACCAACAGGTCCACACGGGGGAGAAGCCGTTTAAATGCGAGGAGTGTGGCAAAACGTTTAGGCAGAAGTCCAACCTCCGAGTCCACCAAAGGTCGCACACGGGAGAGAAACCCTTCCAGTGCTCAGGCTGCCGTAAAACCTTCAGCCAGAGCTCGCACGTGAAATTGCACGAACAGATTCACTCGGGGGAGAAGCCCTATTCGTGCGACGCGTGCGGGAAGAGCTTCCGGCGCAGCGAGCACCTTCGCGTCCACCTGAGGATGCACACGGGAGAGAAACCTTACCAGTGTCCCGAGTGCGGGAAAAGCTTCACCCACAGCTCCAACCTGACTAGGCACAAACAGGTTCACAGGGGGGAAGGCGCCCTGAACGCGAATCCATCGTTGGCTTACATTAAAATGCCCTTACAGGAAACGGACCCCGTAGATTCCCATAATGTAGCACGAGTCTTGATTGTTTGATTTCTTTAATTAGTCAAGGAAGATCTACTTCGCACATAGTTGGCTTAGTGGAATACGGAACCAAAAAGATCCACCCATAGCTCACAACCTGATTAGTTTTTCAAAATCACTGGATGAATTCACGGAGATTAGAGAGGTTGAAAGCTACTAATCATCGTAGCTCTACAGTATATCGGTGGTCCTCTTGGGTGACTCAGGTGTTCTTGGACTGCAA